TGGCATTCCTCTCAAGCACAATAATGTAATGAAAATGACATTCTCTATGGGAATGGAGGCTAAGCACCGAGTGGATATGGTAAAATGGAAACTCTCCCAATGTTAGGCTAGGGTTCCAATGAACATCTTCCTATCCCATAACTATGTGCCCACATAGGATTTTAGCTAGTGGATTCTATCTAAGCTAAATGTACCTAGTTCTACCTTAGGTAAGTAGGACACCTTTTTACAGTGTGGGGCTATATGACACCAGATTCCATGGTTAGCTCTCACGGTCTATGTCGGTTAATGCTTATTCCCATCATGTGAGATGTGCATTATGGTTTCTTGAGGAGTTCTATGAAGTGTGGGTGGTAGTACGGGATGCCATCCATGCATTGCATGAGTAGCTTTGAGAGGGTCATTGTGAGTACTCTAAGTCTTAATGGCTAATGTATGAATGTGTCCAAAATGAAGCTAATGAAGAACGTTGACTCTTATATATGTTTAAATGAGATGATGCATGCTATACTTGGATTGTATTATGAGTTACTTCCTTGTTATGACTTATTGTATATGAATGCGCCTTGCCTATGGTGACTTCAAAGGAGTACTTAGTGTGAGTAGTAGTATGGGATGCAACTTGAACGTTGAACAAGTATAACTTAGAGTTGTCTTAGGTGATGGTCCTTATATGATGATATGACTTATGTAATGTTTATGTCTCTTATGTATGAGTATTGTGTGAAGAGGGAAAGGTTGAATGGTAAGTTCACTTTTGGTGACCTTAATGTGGTTCTTTTGTGTGGATGGTGGTATGGGAAGCTATCCATACATTGCACAAGGTATAGCATGAGGGTTACTTGAGGTGAAGGCTTAATGTGAAGGTAATGGTTTATATGTTGAATATGTTCTAATGTGGTGAAATGACTTTTATGTTGGATATGTTTGAATATTATGCCTCTTATTCTTATGTTCATGAAGTTTTATTAAAATGGCATAAAAGCATGATTTCAAATAAAATGTCTGTTTTTAGCATGGTTTTTGCATGGCTATCATACTTAGTATTTAATTGTGCTAACCCATATTTCTTCATGTTTAACTACAAGTGTAAGTTCCGGCAAGTGAGTTGCTTTCTCTCTAGATCAAGGCCTTGGATTTGAGATTCTCCAAGACTTAGTGGTATGTCCTCATAGATTGAGGATAAGTACTTGAAGTTTCCTTTCTTTTCATGTAATAGACTATTATTAGACTTTTCAATTGTAAAGGGCGGTGACCCGACTTATATTCCAGATGTTGTTTTTAGATGGCCATGCGAGACAATAAACTTCCGTTGTGTTTTTCAAGTGTTTTTAATAAACTTTTTGATTGTATGGTTTCAAAAGAATTTTAATTCTATACTATTTCTATTATCGAATGCAATGAAATGCTATGAGGCTTGTACGAGACCCCTTCAGTGTCAAGTATGTCGTGTCGCATATAGGGGCTAGCCTTGGGTCGTGATAGCTAACAATTTGGGTTTGGGTTCCATGAGAGGATCAATGATGTGATATAATTGTGTATATTGAGAAATGTGAAAATGATCGTTGTTCGTAAATTTTAATAATATTGTATATGTTTGATATATGCATGTGATTATATTTTTGTGATGACTTTTGTATGTTGCACTTAGTGGGATAGCCGTGTGATCCTACCAGTATATTGTGATTATGTGCTGATACTGAACATGCTCTTTCTTTGTTGAGTACAGGGCATCTTCAAGAGGGTATTGACGGACCTCATTTAGAAGATCAGCGATCGCCGATCGAATTCAAGGGTGAGCTAATTCTTTCGGGCTGCCATGGGTTCTCTTTCGTCTATGTCCACAATTTTCGGACTTCGACTTCTGTTTTAGATAGTTGGTTAGTTCATTAGATTGGGTTGCATCCCTTCTTGTTTAGACTTGTTGAACTTTAGATGTTTCGGTACATTGATTTTCAGGTTCTAGGTTATTTCTTCCGCATTGTTTAATTCATTGTTAGACTTTTGTTGGAGTTTATGGGAACTCCCTATTTCTTTACTAAGTATTTAACTTGCTTCTATAAGTTAAATGTCTTACTTTTTAGATTAGTTGCTTGGTTTGGGTTGTAGTAGTGGTTCTCCCACCGGAGAGTTAGTGTGGGTGTCAATCACGACAGTCTGGGTCGTGACAAAAAGAGAATAATAGGAAGACAGAAAGTTACCGAGCAGACAAATGGGAGAGGAAAAGATCAAGAATTAGGTAAATCAATACCTCTCTAAATCTTTGTTTTATGTTTATAGGTTGGATAGTATAAGTATTATTATATTCGATAAGAGAGAATATAATTGCCGACGTGAATATGAAAATTGGATTGATGAATGGCAATGTGTAACTATTATGTCTTTTACCAAAATGTTGGCGGCTGTCAGTTGGGCGATGATTGACAATGATTTTCATTAGATAATTCAATCATTAAGGTTGAGTTATGTAGTATATCATTCTTTGTAACTAGTTTAGGTTAGGCAGACCTTGTTTCTGTAACTAGGTGATTTCAATTTTTAAATATTATTATTTTGTTATCATATTATAAATAAGTTTTGATATAGTGAGATAGATAATTAAATAATAGGTGTATTGTATTATATGCATTCCATTAGAGTTATGTTATTTGGATGAATTGAGACTTAACCTAGGCTTGAATATTTAGGAACGAATGAGACTTGATATATTAGTTGATATCAAAATTTTGAAATTTGATTATGGATTTGGGTGCATTTTTAGTAAAGGCTGGATATATAGTAATATGGATGTCTACGAACTCGTTTTCTTATGAATATTGTATACTTGATAGATTGGAAACGTTCTGGTGTATTGAGGAAAGGAAAAACATTGGGGAATTAACTTGCTTGAAAGAAACTATACCCTTGTGTATATTAAATGCAAATAATATTTCAATGTAAAAAGAATAGAAAAATCCATTCTCCATTAAAAGTATATGCTATACATAATAAAGTGAAAAAAAGCCAACCACTTGCAAACAGATTGAGACTACAAAATTTTAAATAAGACATTAAGATTCTTTTTTGTGGCTAATATAAATTTGTTTATGCACATAACTTGATTTAATATCGGGTAATTAGTGAAAAAGAATATAATACTATTAAAATATATATATGCACCCCTATCACCTGCATTCTTTAATATGTAATTTGATAATTTCATCATAATTCAAGTCTATTTGAATGCCTTGTACAATAGTAGAAGTTCTAGAATGACACACATCCTCATTTATATGTGTTTTTTTTTAACTAACAAGATATTCTGATGAGTCCGAGATTTGGACTCATTTAGTGCTTTATTTACAATAATTAAGTGTCCTCAAATGCTTATTTTGTGCCAATAACTGATGGAAAACCCTTGATTTTCAGGTATATGGATCGAGTAACAAAGCAAGGACAGTAATTTGCAAAAAGGAACAAAGCGAGCTAAAAGAATAAAGAAAAGAAAGCCCAGTGATCGCCAAGTCTATTTGGCGAGTCGTCGAATGGCTATTTGACTGCCTAAAGTTCTAGTGTGCCAAGCCCTGTTGGAAAGAACCAAGTTGGAGAGAGAAAGGAGTAGTCGGCGGATCGCCGAGTGGTTCCGCGATACAGTGTTGGATCGCCCAAAGTTACAGACCTTGAGGATGCTGAGGCCAAGGCAGAAAGACGATGGAATTGACCAAAGGGTGGATTGCTGAGTGGGTCGGCGAGCCCGACTTACTTCCCCGAGTGACTCTTTGTAGCATATTTTTGACGACTATAAATACATTTTTGAACGTTTAGTTTAGTATCGAATTTTATCATATTTTCATTACATCTAATTTTCATTTTTTGAATTGTAATTATTCTGAGTAGAGAGACAAGTTTTCCTTATATTTAAAGAATAGAAGTTTCTCACTTTTGAGAAATTGGAAGTGGGTCTTTGAGATTCTTTGACTTGGACCATTGTAAAGATGAAATTAATCTTAATTAGTTGATGGAAACTCAATTTGGTAACGATTTTTATCTTTTTATAATGTCTATCTAAAACCCTAATCTTAGGGTGTGATTATGTGATTATGGGCTGATTTAGTTTATGAGTATTGCTAATTGTTAGTCTAAATGTTGTTTAGATGTGAGTTCATCAATAATTGTGGTTTAATTTAAGAATTGTAGTTGCAAATGCAGTTCTACCCTTGTGTTTTTGGCTTGCTCGAGAGAGAGGTTTTAAAACTAAGATTATTGATTGATGATCTATGAGTATTGGGTTGACATGGGGTCAACTCGAGAGAGTGAATCCTAAACTCAATTCCACACATTCAACTCGAGAGAGTGAATGGACTAAGGTGTGGGCTGTTCTTATTTTGCATGTTTGTCGTTTGAGAGGAATCGACTTGATTCAGGGTAAATTATTCGAGAGAAAATTTGTCACCTGTATATTGCAGCTTACTCACTAATATCTAGCTATTTTCTAATAGTTGCAATTATCCATTTATCTATATTAGCCTATAATCGAATCACATCCAAGAACCCGTCTCATTATTGTTGTTTCGTATTGTTTACTGCTGTTGTAGTTGATAATTTCAAACCAAAACCCCTCATTTGACATTCATGTCACCTCCTGACTTGAATTATATTTTTATTCGATAATGTCTATTCCTATGATTGATTTGACCAAATGCACACATTCATATTGAATCTTAACCACGTACCCCTCCCAGTGGGATTCGACCCCATCTCATTTAGTTGGGTTTTATACTTGTAAAGATTAAGATGAGAAGGTCAAAAGATAATTTTATTAAGTCTGGCAGCAAGCTATTATATACATAATCTTCAACCAACTGATGCTAAAGTGTAGGCCACCACCTGCACATGATCTACAACTAACTAATGCTAGATAATAGGAACTATAACTACTCCTAAATGTGCTCCACATAGTAGGAGACTTATTCAAACTAGTAACAAGAGGTAAATAAAACATATACTAGAAGTTACCGTAGTTAGCAACCTACAGATATCGTTAATACACCCCTTCGAGGTACGCAAGGTGCAATAATGCCTAACTTGGAACGACACCTAGTAAATGCTGATTTAGGCAGTGGCTTGGTGAATGTATCAGCAAGTTGATCACAAGCATGGGTATGAGTAACATGGACTCGATGATCTTGAACCTGGTCACGGACATAAGCAAAATCAACAACAACATGTTTCATACGGGTATGAAACACTGGGTTGTGAGATAAATAAGTCACTCTAACATTGTCACAGTAGATTGTTGGCGTCTTTGAAATGGTGACATGTAACTTATGAAGTAAGTTTCGCACCCAAGTGAGCTCTGCAAGTGCATTGGCGACAAATTTGTACTCTGCCTCGGTGGATGAGCGAGCTACTACACATTGTTTTTTTAATGACCAACTAACTGGATTTGGTCCAAAGAAAAGAATGTAACCTGATGTAGAGATTCTGTCATTCGGATTGGCAGCCCAGTCCGCATCAACATACATATACAAATTGGAGTCAGAGCTGTGAATGATGCGAAGTCCTAAACTTGCAGTTTCTTTGAGATACCATAGCACTCTTTTAACCGCTTTCCAATGTTCATCAATCGGGATATGCAAAAATTGAGACAATTTATTGACTGCATAAGAGATGTCAGGCCATGTGAGGGACAAATACTGTAATTTGCCAAGGGTACGCCGGTAGCGAGTGACATCAGTATGTGGCGAACCGTCAACCACTCGAAGTGGTACAATGGAACACATGGGGGTATAAACACCTTTGTAATTTTCCATATCCAGTTCGGAAAGAATATCCAGAATATATTTTGATTGAGAAAGAATGAGACCATCCGGTATGTGCTTAATGTCAACACCCAAGAAGTAGTTCAAATAGCCAAGATCTTTCAACGAAAATCTAGCTGCCAAAGAATTGATGAAAAATTTGATCACTTTTGGATGGTTGCCAGTGATTATGATGTCGTCAACATAGACAAGAACGCAAATAGTTACAGCCATATGCTTCCATACAAATAGAGAGGTGCCAGATTTTGTTCTGACAAACCCCATTTTCAGCAGATGTTCATGCAGAGAATTATATCAAGCCCGGGGGGCTTGTGGCCATAAATAGCCTTCTTCAGCTTGCAAACATGAGTCGGTAATTGGGGATTGATAAATCCTTAGGGTTGAGACATAAACACTTCTTCGTCCAATTTTCCTTGAAGGAAAGCATTATTGACATCAAGTTGATGGATTGGCCAATTGTGTTGCACATCGATAGATAGAACTAACCTGTCCGTCGCTGGTTTGACAATGGGACTGAATGTTTCATGAAAATCCAAACCAGTGTGTTGCGTGAACCCTTTTGCAACTAGAAGAGCTCTGAAACGGTCTATAGAGCCATTTGCTTTTCTCTTGATCCTATACAACCATTTGCAGTCCACCACAGTATTGGACAGGTCTCGCGTTACGAGTTCCCAAGTTTGATTTTTGATTAACGCATCATACTCTTCTTGCATTGCTTATATTAACAGGGCTTTTCGTGTTTTTAATAAAAGAAATTTAAGTGTTGAAGAATCTGTAAATGTGGTATTTGATGACACTAGTTAAGGAGTAGAGGATGTTGAATGCAGTGACCATGAAACTACTTCTCTCAAACGAGCTAAAGATACATCAATCATCAACACTAAAATCAATACTGAAGAGTCAAATAATGCAGAGGTGGAGTCAATTACTCCAGTCAACAAAGCCAACATTGCAAGAGAATAGTGACACAATGCTAGCTATCCTGAAAGTTTCATTCTCGGGAAACCTGATGACAAAATCCAAACATGGTCTTCCCTCAGAAAACAAGATTTTGTGGCTCTTATATCCCTAATGGAAACTAAATGAATAAATGAAGCTATGGAAGACGAGTCATGGGTACAAGCAATGAAAGAAGAACTTGATCAATTCGAAAGAAATCAAGTGTGGACTCTTATCGAAAGACCAAAAGAATTTCTCAGTAATTGGAACCAAGTGGGTGTTTCGAAATAAACTTGATGAACATGGAAAAGTTATTCGCAACAAAATAAGATTAGTTGCTCACGGCTACTCACAACAAGAAGGTATTGATTTCGATGAAATTTTTGCTCCAGAGGCACGGTTAGAATCTATTCGATATTTTCTCGCATATGCATCTTTTAAGCACTTTAAAATTTTACAAATGGATGTAAAAAAATGCCTTTTTAAACGGTTTCATAAAAGAGGAAGTCTTTGTCAAACAACGCCCCGTTTTTGAAAATCCTTCTTGTCCTGATTTTGTTTATAAACTATCCAAAGCTGTATATGGTCTCAAACAAGCTCCAAAAGCCTTGTATGAGAGATTGAACACTTTTTTTACTTCAAAATAATTTCCAAAGAGGTAAATTTGACACAACTCTTTTAATTAAAAGATCTGGCTTATATATTCTTATAGTTCAACTTTATGTTGATGATATTATTTTTGGAAGTTCTAATCCTTCTTTGCGTGAGAATTCTGCAAATTTAATGAAAGGCGAATTTGAAATGAGTCTAATGGGAGAACTGACATTCTTCCTCAGTCTACAAATCAAGAAGTCAACTAATGGAACTTTCATTAGTCAAACCAAGTATGCCAAGGAGCTAATAAAGAAGTTTGGACTCAAAAAAGGTAAGGGTTTTAGAACCCCCATGAGTCCTTCCACATGCCTTGAAACAGATGCACCCGGGAAAGATGTGGATGAAAATATGTATAGAGGAATTGTTGGCTCACTACTATATCTCACCGCTAGTCGACCAAACATTATGTACAGCGTATGCAAATGTGCATTATTTCAAGCTACCCCGAAGGAAACTCATCTTACTACAGTAAAGCAAATTATTCTCTACTTGATTGGCACCACTGAATTAGGACTGTGGTATCCTCACTCATCTCATTTTGATTTAATTGGCCACTCAGATGCTGACTTTGCAGGTGACACAAATGACCGAAAGAGTACAAGTGGAACATGCCAAATCTTGGGACAATCCCTAGTCTCATGGCATAGCAAGAAACAGACCTCGGTTTTTTTATCTACTACTGAATCTGAATATCTAGTCGTTGGAAGCTGTGGTACTCAACTCTTATGGATGATGCATCAATTACTTGATTATGATCTCTCTTATGAAGTTGTTCCCATTTTTTTGTGATAATACTAGTGCTATTAGTCTCTCAAAATATATTGTGCATCATTCTCAAAATATATTTTTTGTTGAAATTCGTAGATTGTGAAAATCAATTAGCTGATATTTTTACAAAACTGCTACTTGAAGAGAGATTTTGTTTCCTTAGAAATTTCCTTGGTATTACGTGCCTTAATTAATTTATATTCCTTATGTGTTTAATGTGTTTTCCTTGTTTTGTTTTTTTAATTATGATCTTCCACCGCCTCTTCCGCTTCCCCATATACCCTTCTTTTCTTTTCCTTTCTAACTCCTCCTTTCCTTTTAAAGACTTTTCTTCTCCCTCTTCTGTATTCTAGTTATCCGCCTTCTTCTCTCCTCTCTTCTTTAACCTACCGTGACTAGAACTCGCTCCATGGCCTCTCAAAAACCCTCTGCCCCTTCGAGCTCTTTCGAAGTGGATATCTTGTCCCTTTCCTTTGATTCTTCCACAGGATCAATGGCTTCCCCATCTATCTCCTCAAAGAAGAGAGCATCTACCTCAAAATAGAAAGCTTCAAAGAAACCTCACCCTCTTGCGAGAGGATCTCTCTCCAGCAGACATGGAAAGGTTCTGAGGAATCGAACAGAAGCACAGTATGACAACTTCAAATCTCGGCCGATTGTTCCTGGCCGTGTTGTTAATCTCAGTCAGCTTAAGGACTCTCACTGCCCGGTAAGCTATTATCTCAAAGTTCAGAAATTATCCTTGCTTTTCACTCTGTGTGGTCTTGAACTTTTCGAAAAGGTTGTTCAACTCTTCTATGCGAATCTTTGCATATCTCCTGACAGTGGTGAGTTAGAAACTTTTGTCTTGGGAAATCACATTATTGTTAATGAACTGCTCTTTGAAGATGTGTTCAAAAACATGTTGCTACCAATTGCACACGCAAGTGTACGCGGTCGCACAAGTACTATAGTGGCTCTTAAAAGAACCGGATTATCGAACCCAAAGGACTTGTCAATTAATTATTCTTACTAAATTATATTAATTCTAATTATTTATTTAAGGGGAGGATTTCAAAAGATGAATATATTAACTACACTAAAAAATAAATATAAAATAACGACAAAAAGAAATTAACTAGAAAAAGATAGATGTTTACACAATTAATGAATGAATCGATCTAGGATTATGATTTAACTTACAATCATGTTTAGCATCAATTTCATCAACTTATTTGATTATCTAGTTGCTGATTCACGGGGTTGATAATATAGGTATGATCTCCCGACCTCTAACCATCTACCACAATTGAAAGCCTAACTGCATCGTTGAGCGGGGATAGACTAGACCAACTATGGAGCATTAAGTTGTCTTCCCGTATTTGAGACAAGCAAGGCACCTAGGTATATCCCTATCCTAGATACAAATCAATTCAAGTGACATGCAAGAAAAGATAATGCTCCTTATATTTCACGTTCTATCCTCTTATTCCTCTCCCGAGTTCAATTTGGACAATGTATTTATTCTAATGGTAATCAAGCATCAAAATAGTAATTACCAGAATATAAGAATAACCAATATGATAAACAATTATGATGAATCAAAATCACTAAACAATCATATTATAAGTAAATATAATCCAAGAACGAGAAGTTTAACTCCACATAGACATATAGCAATTACAACGAATCATTCAAATAAAAGATGTAAAATAAATAAAAGAAAAAGAAAAGATAAAACCCTAAATCAAAAGTTATTTTCTACATTCATCCTTCTCTCTCTAATAATTATTCTTATGGAATATTTATAGATGTAGGAAACCCTAAATAAAATAATTGAGTTCAAAACAAATTGGAAATTCAAAACCAAACGGAATTGGATTCTGTTTGAAACTCTTTCGCCGACCCAACAATTGTGCGTTGATTGGTTGCCTCCTGGCATGCAGTTAGATTTTCTTTCTTCTTTCTCTCTTTTACATCGTTTGATTCACATATATATAAATATAATATAATATTCAATTTAATCCATTAAGTTGCCTGCTTGATTTCCTTCTTCAACCTTCCATCTTTAATTCGTTTTAGCTCCAAATTTCTTCATCGTCCAACAATTTAATATACTATTAAGCACAATTCATAAAATCCATGCTAAAAAAGGACAAATATAAATAATAAATGTGAGGCAAATTATGATTAAAATTATGTATTTTGGCCTCACATAACTATCCCACACTTAAACTTTTGCTCGTCCTCGAGCAAACGTTAAAGCTCATCTCAAAAATCATTGATACAAACAATAAGGCCATATGACAAATTTCAAACCATCAGTTACACTCCTCAATCATTATGCAAGATATACAAATAACCTTCAAACCTCTAACCTCCTAACCTCAAGGAAGGACTTTGAACTCATCAAATTTAAGATTGCTCACCTATTCTCATCAAAGAAAGCTAATAAAATCACCTATCTATCATGAAACAAGTGCCCTCACAAGAAGAAATAGTCCACACACTCAAATCAAAAGATTGAATATAAATTAAGGACTAAGCATCAAAGAACAACTCACACTCTGATATAAAATTCACACGTATGCACAAAGAACCATAGGCTTGCCCATTATGTACATCTCTACTAATTAAGCATGCTTGAATAGAATCAAATAGGACTTTTACAGGTTGTAATGTAGGCTAGGGGATGGGTAGGAAACTATATAATAGTGACTTACACTTCCTTAAGCACTTTGCAATTTTAGACCTCATCACCCAGTATTTTCTTCTCTTTATTTTCAGCTATCTATTCAACAATTATTTCACAAGTAATTCTTCAATCATTTTTTCCCCTTTTTTTTTAATAGGTTTTCCTTCATAATAGCCACCCTCAACTTACGTATTTTACATGTGTTAAGGTGCACGATGTCCTTGGAAGGAGCAGGGCCATCATCAAGGTAACTTCTTTTGTTAATTTTTTTTTCACATCACATTCTTTCAAAGAGGGCTTTTTAAGCATTTTGTAGCTATCATTGATTACCTTTTTACTCAATCATCCATTTTTCTTCACAATTAGCAATTAGAATAAGTCTATACTATAATGCTCAAGGAAGCAAGGTGCAAAAACTAGGGATTCAACAAAATAATTTAGGGCAAAATATGGCTACAAACAAAAGGCTACAGGCTCAAAAGGGCTAACTAGTGATATAATATTTGAAAAGGCTAAAATTTACCAGACAAATCAAAGAAAGTCTATAACCATCTCTTAAACAAAGCAACACTTTTTATTTCTCTTCAATAACATGCATGGCAAGTTCTAGACTAAGATGCAAAATATGGAATAAACAAAAAATCCCACCACACATGGCACAAGTATCAATCAAGATGG